TTTTCAGCTATTCAGTAAAAAACAAAACAAAACAAAACAAAAAAAACCATTAGGAAGAGAATGCATGTAGAAACGAAAAGGTGTCTAGGACAAAGATCTGAGGAGCTCCAAAGATGCTGGGAGGAAGTTGATGTAGCAAAGGTGAATCTAGGAAGCAGCCAGAGCAATAGGAGGGAGGCCAAGAAAAGATGTTTCAAGAAGGAAGGAGTGGGCTACTCCACCAAATGCTGCCAAAAGGTCAAGAAACAGTGACAGAAAAGTGGTCCCTGTGTCTAGCACAGTTGTGATTAGTGAACTTGACAAAAGAAGTTATATGAAATGGTAAAGCCAGAGGCAAGATGGAGAAGAGCACATACAGGAAAAAAACAAAGATAAGGAAGTAGCAACACCTCCTAAGGACAATTCTTGATGGGAAATTTACAAAGAAGGAAAACAGAGAATGGCAGTAGTGAGAGAACTGGGGCAACAAAATGTTTCTCCTGAGATGGGATCTACTAACTAGAGAACTTTATGTATGTCTATGGTAATAATCCAATGATGACCTTTAATGCTTTTTCTAACTCACAGCAGCCAAGTTAAACATAGTAGCTATGTCAAAGTAAATTTATTTTCCTTTGGACATTACTCATTAAAGCAGGAAATATTTTGTCTCCTCAATAAAATCAAAAACAGGAATATTTCTAGGGCCTCCCCGGTGGCGCAGCGGTTGAGCGCTGGGTTGCGAAGCTGCCCGCGGCCTCTGCGGCGCCGGTTCGATCCCCGGCTGCTCCCCGGCCACCGGAGGAGGGTCCCACATGGCGCCCAGACCTCTCCTGCCGCCCTCTGCTCCCCTCAGCAGTGTACTTCAGTCCTTCTGCCTGCTCTACTCCCCACTCTGGCTCTGGTGAATTCTCTCACCCTCCCGCGCTTCTGACTGTACCCAGTGCATGTATAAACAAAACAAACAAACAAACAAACAAATAAATAAATAAATAAAACATGCCTCTATAAAAAAAAAAACCAGGAATATTTCTAGGGGTTTTTCATACCAAAAATGATTGGTTCCAAAACATAACATATAAAATATGCATAATGTTGCTATGCTACATTCAAGTCACAAAATAATTAATATGAATATCTAATATAAACATTTTCTATCAATTGGCTGATTTAATTCTTTTTTTTTTTTTGTGGGACCCTCGCCGGCGGCCTGGGAACGAACCGGCGCCGCAGAGGCTGCGGGCAGCCTCGCACTCAACTGCTGCGCCACCAGGGGAGGCCCATTAGCTGACTTTATTCTAAGGCCTACCTGAAGCATGACAAAATAGTGTTAGAAGGAATTAAAAGCATATAAATCAACTACAGAAACCACTGCTTCCCTGTCTCCTGAAGCACACGGTTAGCAGCTGTCTACCAGTTAGTAATGAGATAGAGAGATAGATAGAGAGATAGAGAGAGAGAGAGAGAGAGAGAGAGAACATGCTGATCATTCTTATACAAACTAGGCATCATTAGAGAATAAAACATTATTTGCCCAAACTAGGAGTACAGTAACACAAGCAACTACCAAATGATAACAGAGGAAATAAAAAGAAGCGAAAAGTCTGTGATTCCATAAGCTGAAGAAATAAGAGAGGGTGGGGACAGATTTCTTGTTGGGGTTTTTAATCTGTGCTGAATTTATTAATTCTCAAAATGCTAAGTCAGTTAGTTAAATTTCCATTCGTTTTCTATTCTCATCTCTGCCACTGAAATGTAGAGACTAAAGAAACACTCTCAAAATTTTTGGTGACAACTAATCAATTTCTTAGATACGTGCCTATTCTCCCACTACAAACACATCTCTTCTCTTTAATAAATTTAAAATAAATTGAACCACACACCACAGCATGCCGAAAATAGTATACAATCATATACTAATAACATCTTTCCTCTGCTTATGTCACCTCAGAATGACCTCTTATCATCATCCAACCTATTATGATAGTCTCCATTACAGTACCCTGTTAATTTTTTTCATTGCATGATACCAACTGCTGGTTACTTGTTTGCTTAATTATTTATTGTCTGTCATCCCACTGAATTGATAAAGCAGGAAATAAAAAATATTTTAACCATTAATTACCAGCTCCTCTAAAGTACCTGATATTCGAAAAGGGCCCCCAAAATATTATTTAATTAATGTGTAAGTGAACGTGATTTACAGTTATCAAGACTACTTAGGAACAAAGTTCATTAGCAGCTGAATCAGAGAATATAACTTTCCAGCTATCTGAGTTTAAATATTACAACAAATAATGTTATCTAAAAGTAGTTTTGTTCTTTAGTCTGTTGATATGGCTTGTTATACTTATCTGCTTCTGAAATACCAGGATAAACTGCTCTTGGTCATGATATATTATCCTTTTTATATATGAGTGCATTTTATTTGCTACTTTTTTGTGGAAGATTTTTACATCCATGTTCATAACGGATACTAGTCTGCAGTTTTCTTATTATTGCTCATCTGGTCATAATGACCATAAAATGAGCTGAGAAGTGTCCCCCTTCCTCTATTAAATTGGTATTTCTTCCAGAAGTAATCTCTCAAGAGATGGTAAAAAGTCACTTATGAAAAATCAACATTTATTCATGATAAAACTCTCAGCAAACTAGGAAAAAGTAACTTCCTTAGCCTGATAAACAGCATCTACCAAAACCCTACATCTAACATATCTCATGATGAAAGATAAAACATTCTCCCCCGAGACCCAGAAAAATCAAAGGATATCCTTGCTCTCTCCACCCTATTCAACTTTGTATTGAAGGTTCCAAGCAGTGCACTAAGAAATAAAAGGCATACACATTGAAAGAGAAACAATAAGAGTCTATTCACAGAGAATATGATTGCCTAAGTAGAAAATTCCACAGTACCCACCAAAAAAAACAAACTATATATATAGAATAAGTGATACAATATACAAAGTCAATGTACAAAAATCAATTGTATTTCTATATATAGCAATAGAAAATTAAAAATTGAAATGTCAAAATAGTATCATGTACAAAACCACCAAAAATCATTACTTAGGTCTAACACAAACAAAATATATGCAACATCTACCTACACACTGAAACTACAAAACATTGTTGAAAGAAATTGAAGAACCAAGTAAATGAGACAGATGTACCATCTTCATGGATTACAAGAGTCAATATTGTTAAAACGTTAATTTTCCCAAAAATAATTTGCTTGATATATCAAAATCACAGCAGAACTTTCTGTAGACATTGAAACGTTGACTCTAAATGTTCTATGGAAATAATAAGTAAATAAAATAGCCTAAGTGATTTGAAAAAGGAACAAAATTGTAGGATTCATACTATTTGATTTCACAACTAAATACACAAATATCATTATCAAAGCAGTATAGTACTCGTGAAAGAGCAGACATTTAAATCAATGGAAACAGAGATACATGACAAACTGATTTCTTGCAGAGAGCATAAAAACAGTTTTGGATTAAATCTGAGAGAAACATGCTTCTTTCCTATGACACTAAATCAGAAGCTGCAAATACTGATTTTCTCAGTGTAAAGATTTGTCAAGAGTCAAAATGTGTTAGGAGAAAATATGAAAAACAAATTTCAGAAAGGGGAAAACTAAAAAGAATTAAGAGCAGTAGAAAGCATCGTCGTAAGAATTATATAAAAGATATGGTTTGAATGTTAAGCTTTGTGCATTTCTAAATTACAAAGATATAATTATTGAGTCCATAACAGTCATTTCAAAAACATACAATACATCTGAAAAAGAAAACAAAAAAGGATTCGATGCAAACATTAAGATAAAGTATTTCTATCTACTTTTTGTGATATAAAAACTTAACAGGCTTTGAAAACCAAAACCAATTAAGTTCAGTACACCATGATTTGTTATTCCTTGGTGATAAGAAGGGATATTATAGGAAGCAACAGTATCTTATGATAACCTAAGAAAGCAGTGAACAATAAATGACTTATTAAGAATGAAAAACAGGGCCTCCCTGGTGGCTCAGCAGGTTGAGCACAGAGCTGTGAAGCTGTCCACAGCCTCTGCAGCACAGGTTCGATTCCCCTGGCTGACCAGGGACCTACCCACATGGCAGGGCAGACCTCTCCTGATTCGCCCGCTGCTCCCCTCAGCAGTGTATTTCAGTAGATCTGCCTGATCTGTTTCCCACTGTCTCTGGTGAACCCTCTCACCCTCCTGCACCTCTGGCCTGTACCCCAGCTCTCATATAAATAAAAATAAATCTTTAAATAAAAATCATATTCTTAAAAAAAAAGAAAAACAAACAGGCTAAGACCAAAACAGAAAAAACCCACCTAAACAAAAGTTTTCAGTTGGTAGCACTTATTGTTTTCATCGAGTGACTGAGACATGTCCTCTTCTCTGTCCCCAAACCCAACCCTCCAATAGCCATTAGAACTTTCAAGACTGTAGGTGGCAAAGAATGGCGTGGGTCCCATCACACTGAATTTTTTATGGCATAAACTAAATTCCAGTTTCAAGAGACTGGAGGAGAAAGGGGGCGTGGCAGGGAAGAGAAGTGACTGGATGGGGCAGGAGAAGATGATTGGAAGATGATTTCATAGCGCAGGCGGTGGATGAAATTACCAGGACTGGGTGGGCGAGTTTACAAAGCTTGGAGTCAGGTAGTGTAGGCAAATTAGTCACCCACAAGGCACAGGGGTGAGAAATTTATGGAATCGGCACCAGCAGGAGGCAAAGCGATCAGGGAAGACGAGCAGGAATAAAGGGTGACCGCCCCTCAAACCTCAGACCCCAGGACGCGTGATGACCAGGGATGGGGACCCCAGAAAGGGCTGAGGCAGCTCCAGCAGCCAGGTAGGCGGGAGATGGCCGTGCTGGGGGCACAGCCTCCTGAAGCCGAGTAAAAGGGGCCTCCGCGGGATGAAATCCCAGCCGCCCGGGGCGCGCAGAGGTGGAGGCGAGCTGTGATGGCTCTGGGGTCCCGGGCGAAAGACACCGCACTCACCTGGTTGGTGACCTGAAAAGAAAACACAAAACACAATTTAGAGGCTGCCTCGGGAGCAGCAGCGGCAGCCCGGGTCCCTCCGCCCGGCCTGCAGCGTCAGGCCAAGAGAGGCGCCGCGCTAACCTCGGGATTGGCCTCCAGCGGCAGCCAGCGCTGACCCTCCATCGCCGCTCCGCCCGGCCCCGCTCCAGCACTGACAGCCGGCGCTTCCGCCCCCGCGCGCCCTGACCTGGGGCCGTCCAACTCACAGGGGCGGGGGGGACTGAAGGAAGCAGGCAAGCTTGACAACACCCTAGCCTCTTTACCATTCTCCTCAGAGTCACATAATAAAGGATACGTTAAGACGCACTGTAAGAGGAAAGGATAGGAGGCACTTCTCTAGTGAACGAGGAAAAATAATCTGAATCCACAGGCGGCTCCCCTCACACTTGGACTCTTCCCTTCCCAGCCGAGCGCTGGTGTACGACGCATGCGCCCCGAGCTGGTCCTTGACCGCGTGCTGGCTGGCGCCCTCCAGTTCCTGCAGGAGCAGCGCGAGGCGCTAGGGGGCGCGTCAGCCGGGCCAAGTCTGCGAGGTTGTAACTGGGTCCCTGCCCATCTGGGGGCCCTAAGGCCGTCTGGGAGTCGTGCCCCAGAAGCGATGTGTACATAAATGCTGTGCTAGCCTTACGGAGTGGGGTGCATTTCTAGCTACCTACACAATTCCGCTGGACAAAAAAATGTCAAGTGCTGTTGTGAATCAGACACTGTAAGTGCTGGGTACACAAAACCGAGCTCGCTAGTGCAGAAAAAGCGGGGGCAGAAGAAAGATCACAATAAAGGGTGATGCATTATGTGAAGGAGGTAGTTGATATGTAAACTGCAAAGAAGAGCAGTTCAAGAGGAGAGGGAGTATCCATAAGGATCCCCAAAAAGGGGGTCAACTGGACTGCACCCTTAAGAAATAGTAGAGTTAGCCAGGCAGAGAGGAGACTGCTCTAAAAAGGGAAAGTGTGCATTGTGGCTACAAAAATTGCAGAATTGAAAGGCAGTGGTTAGAGGGATATTGGAGAGATAAGCAGGGACAGGTGGGGTCAAGACATCCGGGTTTCATACTAAAAATAGCAGGATATCATTGAAGGGTTTTCATTGCTGTCATCCGCCAGACTTTAAACTCAAAGAGGAATGCAGTAATGCCTTTTTTTTTTTTTTGCACGTTTCCCCAAGGCCTAACCCAGTACCTGATACATAGTTTATGCTCAATAAATATTTGAGGAATGAATGGAATAATCAGATATAGGGAAACACCATTTGTAAATAATGTGGACGATTTGCAAGAGCAAAATAGTGAGATTTCATTAAAGCAGTAGCCATGGAGATATATAGGGGCAGTCCCAGATTAAAGAAATACTGTTTTAAGGGAGTGTCCTTGAGGGCTGGGGGAATGGGCAAATCAGGTAAACAGGACCAATTTTATGGGGTGGATAGAAACTAGACTTTTGGTGGGATAGCCAAATTATAATACTGTACACCTGAAACCTACATAACATAAGCCAATGTTACTTCCATGAAAATCTTTCAAAAAAAAAACAAATGGCAAAAAAAGTAAAGTGAAAAAAAGGGAGGGAGAGGTTTATTCCTCTGATGAGCAGGAATTGTCAATAATGACTCCAGGCATTTGACCTGGGTAGCAGCATATATTACTACTCCACCTTATAAAGAGCATTCAGGAAAAAAGAAGAGTTGTCAAGTGAGAAAAGATATTTTTATTACACTGAGCTTGCCTTTCTTGGCGAATTTCCTAGTCTTTCACCGGGATATTCTGGCCACTGATTTTCAGCCTCCAAGGGACTTCCAGTCTCTTAGCTCCTTTTTCTCCTTACACAAATGACAGACTGTTGCTATATCCACCCAACTATGACTTGATAAATCTGAAATGTCCAGCTATGATGTGCGGTTGTACTTGTGTAATCACCTGAGTTCCATGTGGGCCTTTCAGTGGCAAGCCACGGGCTGCTTTTCATATGACTTGCTGTCAGAGGAATGGTCTTGCTCCAGAACCCTGAGGTTCTGTACTGTGACTCTCCTGTTAGAACTTGCCCGAAGACACCACATAGCATCCTTGTCCATCATGGACGTCTCTAGCACCACTAGATTTGCTAAGACATAGAGCCAAACAGCAAGGTGACATGCACTCCAGTTTGGACTTGCTGCAGAGCACAATTCTCCTGAGGCACTTACTCAAACTTGCTGCCTTGCATGTCACTCAGTAAATGCGTCACAACTATATTCCCAAGTGTGGCATAAGCTGCCTCTAAGAGACAAAGAAACCCACTGTGTAATCTGCCTCTTCCCTATTAATTGGAATTGCAAGCTCATAACACCTTTCACTTTAGAGAGGTTCTCCTAGCATGTGCTAGACCTTTGGACCCATAAAAACTACATTTATGTAGGAACTATCTAATGTTTACAGGATTTAACCTCCACCCTCTGGCACAGATATACCTAGGGTCATATCAAGGACAGCCATACTCAAACTTGAATGGCCATGCAAACACCTGGGGAATCAGAAATGCAGATTTTGATTCAGTAAGTCTGAAAGGGGACCCACTATTTTACATCATTGATCCCAGTGTTTTAATTCTCCCTTTATCCATATCCTTTGCCAAATAAGAATGAAGTATTTCTCCAAAAAAGGGACAAATAGTGTCAATCCTCATTATTCAAGAATTCTGTATTTTTAATTCACTCACTTGCTAAAATTGATTTGCAATCTCCAAATTCATACTCTTGCGGTACTTTTGTAGTCATTCACAGGCACATACAGAGTGGCAAAAAAAAAAAAAAAAAAAGAATTCCCATTTGAGTTTGAACAAGTCATTGCTCTGCTTTCTGGTAGCAGCTCTCATACTAGAAACAAGTGTCAGTTTTTGTAGCTTATTTAGTGCCATATTTCTCTGTTCTTTGTCAGTGATTTTGGTGTATTAAATGACTTAAAGCATTGTGCTTTCTTGTTGTTAATTTTATTTATTGTGCATATAAAAACTGGGGCTTAGGCCAGAGGTGCAGGGGCGCAGGAGTGTAGGGGTGTGTGTGTGTGTGTGTGTGTGTCTGTATTCACCAGAGACAGAGTGGGGAGCAGAACAGGCGGATCTACTGAAATACACGGCTGAGGGGAACAGCAGGAGAGACATGGGTCTGCTGTGCCATATCGGTCAGCAACCTGGCCGGGATCAAACTCAAGCTGCAATGGCTGGTGATAGCCTAATAGCGCTGAGACTTTAACCTCTGCACCACCAGGAAGGCCCCCAATTGTGCTTTCATATGTTCCAAAGCACAAAAAGGCTGTGTTGTGCCTTATAGAGAAGATGTTGAATAAGTTTCTTGAAGCAGGAGTGACAGTGCTGCTGGCCTTGAGTTCAATATTAATAAATCAGCTCTATATATTGAGTGAGATGTCTTTAAACAAAAACAGCAGTAAAACAAGGTTATATATCAATCTATTGATGAAAATGTGACCAGAGGCTTATAGGAACCCAGCGGGCGTTTCCCCTAGGAGCAGTGGTCATATATTTACTAATTAAGTGTCGGTAGTGATTTTATCCCCCGTAACTTCTACGAATGATGAAAATTAACTGGGTACTTCCCCAGTCCTCCACACTGACTTGTCTTTGTCCTCTCATTCAAAGACTTCTCTCTCATCCTTATAAATATCTTTCTTGTATTCTGAAGGATTTGGTGATTTCTCCAACCTTAAACTGAAACAATCTTTTTATCTATTCAAGACCATCCACACTGCTGGGTCTCCCTGGTGATGCAGTGGGTAAAGCGCAGCACTTTGAAGCTGTCCACAGCCTCTGCAGCGCGGGTGCGATTCCCGGCTGGCTAGGGAGATAACTACATGGCGTGGAAGACCTCTCCTGCCTTGCCCACTGCTCCCCTCAGCAGTGTTTTCGGTCCATCTGCCTGTTCTGCTCCCTGCTCTCTCTGGTGAATTCTCTCACCCTCCAGCACCTCTGACCTGTACGCCAGTTCTTGTATAAATGAATAAAAATCTTAAAAAAAAAAAAAAAGACCATCCACACTGCTGAAGTATCCACCTTTTAAATGTAAAACAAAGCTTTGTTTGGGTGTTTTGTAAGAAAATAAGGAATTTTGGTCATTTTTTTAAAGATTTATCCATTTATGATTACAAGGACTGGGGTACAGGTCAGAGGTGTGGGAGGTGAGAGGATTCACCAGAGACAGAGTGGGGAACAGAACAGGCAGACTGACTGAAATACACTGCTGAGGGGAGCAGCAGGCAAGTCAGGAGAGGTCTGCTGTTCTGTGTGGGTAGCTTGCTGGCCAGGGATAGAACTCATGCTGCAGAGGCTGCAGACAGCCTCACAGGGCTGCACTCAATTCCTTGCGCCTCCAGGGAGGCCCAAATTTTGGTCATTCTTTCAATAATTTATGTTTGCTTTATGGATACAACTTTACAACCCACTGTTCTCACTCCTTGCCAACTTCCCCACCTGGTAACATTGTATTATGCCAAATCACAGCTTACGCTTTTAAAGACATTTTAAATGGCAGTTAAACATTGTAAGTATACAGTCAACAATACCATAGAAGTGTTGGACAGCTATGTCCAAGTTCATGTGTGTACCTGAGTCACCATTGCTGCCTGGCTCCCTGTATGTCAGAAGTCATCTGATGTCATGTACAGGATAATTTCTGAGATGTTACAGATGGAATTAAAAATAGAATCTAATGGGACAGAATTTTTACATAAGGCTGTCATCACAGTTGTAACCAGCCAGGTTTGCATTTTTGCTTATGCTGCTCATCGATTATCACCACTATTCACCTCCCTTCCCCCATGCACATACATCCTTGAATATCTGCAGTACAACTAGAACATTCAATTAGCACAAGGCAACTAGAAAAGATTTCATCAGGTACACTGCGATTTCTGAACCCCTCGGGAGTTCTCTGAAATTATATTATAAGACTAAATTAAAACCAGAGTTTAAAGTTTTACTTATTAGCTAAGTGATCTTGCTTAGCATTCCTGAACTTCAGTATTTTCATCTTGACAGTGGAGGTAATGTATGATCTAGAGAGCTCTGAGGATTGACTATCATAATGATGATAACAGGATTTGGCATTTATCGAGTACTTACTATGTGAAGGAGCTTTGATTTACATACTGACCTCTTTCCCCCTCTAATAAAAACCCTGGGGCACAAATATTAATAGTCTCATTTTTACAGCCTAGAAAGCTGATGTTCAGAAAGGCTATCTATACTGACATCACACAGCTGAGTGATTAAAAGAGGATTTAGATTTTGACTTGTGTGATTCCAAAAATTCTAGCACATCGTGCAATCTTCCAGTCCCATAGTTTTCTGTTGGTGCTAGAACAAATTTCCACACACTTAGTAGCTCAAAACAACACAAATCTATTACGTTACAGTCTGAAGGTCAGACATTGTAATGGGTTACTGAGCTAAAATCAAGGTGTTGGTAAGAGAATCTATTGATTTTTTTTTTTTTCCTTTTCCGTCTGCTAGAGGCCTCTAGGCTCTTGGCCACCCCTTCCATCTTCAAAGCCAATGATTGGCTGGTCTTTCTTACATCCCATCTCTGACACCTGCTTTCTGAGTCTAACTCCCCTGCCACCATCTTCCACAATGAAGAATCCTGGGGATTACATTAAGTCCACCTAGGAATCCAGACACATTATATTATAAGAGCCACTGATTAACAAACTTAATTCCATCTGTAATCTTAATCCTCCCTCGCCATGTAACATAATATATTCACAATTCTGGAGGTTTAGATATTGATATCTGCTAAATTAACTAAAGAAGCCACTACTGTCTGGTGGCCTGTATAAGCAAATCCAAATCGATGCCTATAAATGCCTCAAGTTACGAAATCAAAACAGTAAGAAAAGCCGATAACAACCCGTCAGTCAGGCGTTAAATTACAGCCAATAAATAATTTCCTTACTTTACTTCCATAAACTCTTAATACTTTTAATACGTCTCAGTTTATCTTTTAACACATCTTTGGGGAGTCATTTTTCTGTTTACCGCATCCATGGATAGGACAGGATGGACTAAATGGTCCCCTAAACTTATGGAGATGGAAAGTAAGAAATGATTACTAAACTCACGGGTGGTTTCTTACTAGATTTTGGTGGTGACTAAGGCAGAGAACAGTTTTTGAAAATATTGTGGGAACATGGGGGGGGGGCTGGAGGAGGGGTTAATTTGGCCCATGTGTTAGAACAATAGTATCTGATCAATGGTCAATACCCTTGTTCTTATACATGCTCAAGTCCACAGAGACGAAGTGTTGTCATTACTGTGTAACTAAAGGTAAAGCAAATCTGGAAAATAGTCAGTTGGTGAATCTAGATAAAGACTACAGAGATGTTTGGTGGATTGTTTTTGCGACTTTTCTGGGAAAAAAATGAAGTTTTTAAAAATAAAAAGTTGGCGGAGTCAGGGGGAGGGGATTATTTTGGATGCTGTCTAGAATGGTTTTGAGATGAACAGGATGGAAGCGGGAAGACCAGACTGAAGGTATTGCTGTCACCAAGTTGAGGGTTGGAATTGGACAGGGGCAACCCAGAGAAAGAAAAAGCATCCCTATACCACACCCAGCTAAGTCAGTGAAGTAAACCCGAGTGTCGGAAACTACTCTTACAACTGGAATTCCAACAGACTCCACCCTTGCAGAACGAAATTCCCCCGGGAAGAGGGTGCGGGAGGCCAGGAAGCTCCCAAGGTGTGTTCGGCTAATTACTCGTGCAGCGCGCTCGCGCCCCGGCAGGGGGCGCTGTGGGCCCGCGGCTGGGAAGAGTCCACGTCCACCGCGTTGGGGGGGGGGCGGCAGTCTGGAGCTAATGTGAGCGCCTCTGGACAAAGCAGCTTCCAAGTCTTTGGACATTTTTCCATACAACCATTTTGTACTGCTGAGGAAATAATTAAAGTTGATTTTTAGAGAGTGCCGAGGGCGAGTTACACAAAGCTGAACACTTCCGCCTCCCCCGCGTCCGCTGCGTGCGCCCGGCCGCCAGGGGCCGCGAGAGGAAGCGGAAGTGCCGGCGGCCCGCGGAGCGTCCACCTGGCGGGCTGCGCCGCCCCGGTGGTCGCCATGGAGGGCTCCCCCGAGCCGCAGCTGGATGCCAAGTCCAAGGTGAGTCCCCCTTGGGAGGAGCCGGGGCGGCGGAGCTGTGAAGCCAGAGCGATCTTGCCCTAAATTGTGTTTTCTGCTCCCGTTTCAGGTCACCAACCAGGTGAGTGAGTGGCCGCGACCGCCGCTGGGCCAGGGGCGGGCGGCGACACCTGCCCTGTCTCTGGCCACCCGTGGATGCTGCTCGCCTGAGCCTTGGCCAGATCCCCCCGCAGGCCCAGGCCCAGGCCGCGGGCCGCTGCCTGGCTTCGCCACTCTGTTTTGCTCCTTCCCGTTTGCATCCCACAGGGTAGCCGCTGCCCTGGTGGTTGCACCTCCCCACCCACCCCAGCCTCAGAACTACAAACTGTGTTGTTCTTCCTTCATAAGGGGCTGGTTTTTCCAAGTTCGGCATGCATTATTTTAGAAATGTAGTATGAAGAACGAAGAAATTAACATTTACGGAAATAGCGCCGCAGTTTCTTAGTCTTCAGAATTATTTACAGGATAGAGTAGACTGAACCTTTCTGTATTTTGCACGCCGGGATTAAGAATTTAAATTTTTATGTGTGTTTTAGCCCTCTTGTTCCAAGTGTTCCAGCCCTGTTTCAGCTAATTATCTATTATTTAGACAAATAACAATGCATACTTATCCAAATAGTAGTACTAAAACTACAGTGTTGCAGGTCAGGAGTTACCCAGGTCTGTACAGAATATAAGGAAGGGCTGTGGTAAGAGAAAAGAATACAGGGGATGAAGTATGTGCATTGACTTCTCGTCTCCAGCTGATCTTGCTGTTGCTTTTGAGGATTCTGGGAGGGAAGAAGAAGTCAATTACTAAGTTAACTGCACTTTCAATCTCATAAATCATTTTATCCATTCCCTTACGCTAAAGCATGTGTTTTATGATAGCCGGAAATTAAATTATGCTAGATTATAGGATTTTAAAAATCAAACTTTTGACTGGGGAGAGTTGTTTAAAACAACACAACTGTATTATTTTTTTTCTTTCAAAGATTTATTTATTTATGCGTACAAGAGCAGGGTACAGGCCAGAGGTGTGGGGGATGAGAGGCCTCACCGGAGACAGAGTGGGGAACAGAAGAGGCAGACTGACCCAAGTACACTGCTGAGGGGAGCAGCAGGCAAGTCAGGAGAAGTCTGCTGGGCCATGTGGGTTGCTCCCTGGTGGGCAGGGGATCAAACTCGCACTGCAGAGACTGTGGACAGCTTCATAGATTGGGTCCCAACCCCTAGTGCCACCAGGGAGGCCCACAAATGTATTATCTTTCAGTCTTGGAGATTTGAAGTCCAAAATTAGTCTGGAACTAAAATCAAGGTGTTGGCAGGGCTGTGTTCCTTCTGGAGGCTTTAGGAGAGAATCTGTTTCCTGTTCTTTTCTAGCTGGGAGAGGCTAGAAAAGAGAGACCTATTTCCATCTGCAAAGCATATCATAGCAATCTCTGCTTTTGTTTTCACTCTCTCTCTTTGCTACCATCATCATATTGCCTTCTCTGACTGTCCCTCCAATACCTGTCTTAGAATGGTCCTTGTGAATACACAGGGACCACCTGGGTAATCCAGGAAAATCTTCCCACCTTCAAGATACTTAATTCAGTCATGTCTGCAAGGTCTGATTTGTTATGTAAAACAACATAGTCACAGGTTTCAAAGATTTCAAAGATTGGAATGTGGACATCTTTGGGGGGCCATTATTCAGCCTGCCACATATCCAATCCATGTAGTTTACAAACAAAATTAATATATGAGCTTAGAAAGGTGATAAGCTGTTGAAAAGTACTTTTTAAAAGATGTCCTTGACAACACTAGGTAATTCATAAAGTACCTTTCAATAAATTGAACAAAAGATGTTTGAAACCTTCATAAAGAAAAATCGCAAAAAGTGTTTTAACTTCCAGTTTCCGGCCTGGCATGTAAGAAGCTTGAAGTCAAGTACCCTATCCTAAAAACAAAGTAAAAAGCTAAACTTAAGTCAACTTTTTTTGGATCTATCAGAGAGGTGAGGTCACAGGACAAACTACTGCCCCATAAACTGGAGTGACAGATAAATACCAAAAAAAATCACAGCAGAACAGAAACCTCAGTGTTGGAGTAGGAGAACCTAAAGTGTAACTGACAAATTGTTGGAGGTTCAATGTGGAGAAATTAAAGATTTAAGATCTCAGAAACCAGGTCAACTCAGGAGCCTACACGTTTATGATTGTTACCTCTAGGGACTCCTAAATTGAACATTTTTATTCATAGCTCATGCTCTTTTTTTTATTAAAAGATTTATTTATTTATGCATACAAGAGCTGGGGTACAGGCCAGAGATGCGGGGGCTGAGAGGATTCACCAGAGACAGAGCGGGAAACAGAACAGGCAGATTGACTGAAATACACTGCTGAGGGGAGCAGCGGGCAAGACAGGAGAGGTCTGCTGCACCATGTGGGTATCTCCCTGGCCAGCCGGGGATCGAACTCATGCTGCAGAGGCTGTGGATTGCTTCATAGTGCATTGCTTAACCCCTTCCGCCACCAGCGAGGCCCTCTATGCTCTTGTAATATATGCTAAACAAAGTGATTATGTATATTCAAAAAGTTTATGACATTCAACTATATTTCATTTCTGTTTGTATTGTATGTTTTTTTAAAAAATGTACCAGATATAACTAATATTTAGGGCCAATAGTTTGAAATTTTTGAGCTCTCATACCTCCCTGTCTTGAAATAGGTCTCACCCGTATATGAATTAGGGATTTCAGTTGTGACCACTCCACAGAGTTCACAGCTCCATACAACTTGTCAGCATACTATTTTCTCTACCTTTAGGGTCTAAATTCACCTTTCCTTGAATCCAAGCCACTATCCTCTCGCCCAACTGGGACTCCTTGCTTTCCTATACTTAATGTCCTATCCCAATGAGTTGGTTTTATTTTTAAAGACTTATTTATGCATAAAAGAACTGGGGTATAGGCCAGGGGTGCCGGGGTCAGGGGGGGCTAGTGGGGAGGAGGTGTGTGTGAGAGGATTCACCAAAGACAGTGGGGAGCAGAACAGGCAGATCTACTGAAATACACTGCTGAGGGGAGCAGCAGGTGAGACAGGAGAGGTCTGCTGTGCTATATGTGGGTTAGTTCCCTGGCCAGGGATTGAACTCAGGTCTCAGTGGTGATCATGCTGAGACTTAACCCCCTAGGCCACCAGGGAGGCCCAGTCCTGGTAAGTTTTTTGCAGTCTAAGTTAGACCAGGTTCCTCCCCTGCCCAAAGCCTTTCAAGAGATTCTGTAACTCTAGTAAAAAGTCTTAAATATTTACCTTGGCCTACAGGACCCTTCAAAAACTTCTCTTCCTGTTCTAGTTCATGCCACTCCAGCCACATGGGCCTCATTGGTTCTGCACTTACTCAGCAGGCCCTTTGTTCAGAAATTTGTCTTCAGATACCCCTGTGGCTTTTTTCTTCACTTTTTTTTACGTCTCTTTCTACTTAAAACAATTCCGCAAAGAAGTCTCTCCCATGCTCTCTCTAAATGCCTTCCCAACTCTTATGTGTTTAATGGGAAATACTTCATTCTTCCGTGTTGTTTTTACTGGCACTATGGACATCTCAGGGGTAACTGAGTAAGCAAATCTGAAATGCTTTTTTGTTATTTATATTTGCTAAAATTCCTATAAACAAATAGTTGAGATTATGTAGTTAGGAGAATACATTTTCGATAAGTCATTTATCAACTTAAGTTTATTGACAAAGTTATTTGCAGTTTGTTTCCCTGCTTTAATTATTTATTGCTGCCTTACAAACCACCCAAAACTTAATGATGGAAAACAACTGTTTAATTATCTCTTGTGATTCTGTGCATTAGCTAGGCTAAGCTGGGTGGTGGTTTCTGCTCCCCATCACGTCAGCTGGGGCTCCAGTCATCTGGGTGCTTAATTGGGACACAAATCTAGAGGGCTCACTTGTGATTAGTGATGACTTAGGCTGTGACCTCTGCTACAGCTGATAATTAGAAGGACTTGGTTCTCCTTCAATGGCTGCTCACATCATGGTGGCTGGTTTCCAAGAGGGAGAGTCCCTAAAGCCAGCATTCTATGGCAGAGGCGGACACTTGCCATCCTAAGGAGCAGGAAGATGCCAGCAGGAGCTGGAAGATGCCAGCGAACCTCTTCTAGCATATTCTGCTGGCCAAGGCAATCACAGGGACCACTCAGTTTCATGCAGAGGAAAAATTAAACACCACTTCTTAATCTGAGGGGCAAAATGTAGACAGGGAGGAGTGTGATGTTGAAAGCTATCTTTGGAGACCAATTGCCACTTACTGCAGAAGTTGTAAACAGTTCAGTAAATACTTGTTGGAACAACGACTTTCTACCAGCTATTGTTCCAGTAGATTCACTGATTACCTAGATTAGCAGTGTTCCTGCTTTCATGGAGTTTGCATTTTCTTGAGGTGAAAGGTACTAAATAAACATTTCAGATACAAAGAAAATAAAAGTATGTCATTAAATGAGAAAAGGCTAGTGTCTTAGCAAACTCAGGCTAGAGCAAATATGACTCCCCAAGTAGAAATTTGATAATACTCATGCTTCAATCAATTTCCACATATAAAGGTACTGAGAACACACATCACTGTCCAGTAGAGCTTTGTGTGATGTTAATTTTCTGCTTTGACTCTGTCCAGTATGGCACATGTAGCTGTTGAGCTCTTTATATGTGTCTAGTGCAACTGAGGAATTGGGGTTTTTATTTTTTATTAATGTAAATGGTCACATTTGGCTAGTGATAAATATTATTGGTATTGGACAGCATGTAGAAGATGCTGAACTCCAGCATGTAGAAGATACTGAACATTCTTGGCCCATCCCAGTCTTATCTACTTTTTCTTTTGAAAGATTTATTTATTCATATAAGAACTGGGATACAGGCCAGATGCGCGGGAGGGTGAGAGGATTCACTAGAGACAGAGTGGGGAGCAGAACAGGCAGACTGACTGAAATACACTGCTAGGGGGAGCAGCAGGTGAGACAGGTCTTTTGTGCTATGTGGGTAGCTCCCTGGCTGGGGACTGAACTCGTGCTGCAGAGGCTGCGCACAGCCTCATAGGTTGCGTCTTAACCCCTTGCACCACCAGGGAGGCCCTTATCTACTTTCTTGACCCACTAGAACATAGTTCAATTCCAATTAGTAATCATACTCTAGGTATAAGAGGAGTTGGAATCAGATAAATTTGGGTTTCAACACCAGCTGGACTTGTTTTGTAACTTTGGATACATTATTTAATCAGTTTTCTCATAGCCTTTTTGGAAAGATCAGTGTGTACAGAACACAACATTCTTCCCATTTGAAAACTTATTTAAAAGCCTCAAAGTGTGTATTTTGTGACTATAAAAAAATAGAGATACAGACTAGAATGGGGACATAGGAATATGAAAATAGTTTATACTATGGTAGAGTTGTGCATGATTACTTTTGTAATTTTATGATTTTTGAAAAATAAAAATAAATATAAAATGAGTCTTTATAGTAGCATTTTTATCTTACTGATGACTATATATAGATGTTTACCACTGGATTTTTTTTTTTTGCAGTTTTTCTTTTTAAATCATTTCCTTCATACCATAAAAATTTTTCTTCATACCATAAGAATTTTGAGGCTACATTATTTCATTCCTAATATTCTCTACAGTGGCAAGTTTGTTCTGTTCTGAGGTTTTCTTTCTCTTTTAAAATCTGTAAAGTTATTTTCTATTTAAGCCTAAAGCACATTTATTTGATTTCATTTGCATTTACATGTTCAGTTTAGAATTTGGGAGAGCCTGAAGTCATAAACTAATCCCAGCTTTCTTTTACCAACATTGGACAAAAACTGCCTTGCTGACAGCTCTCCCTATTTCCTCCACATGCCAGTTTCTCTGTAACAATGGTCAGTGGATTTCAAAATTGAGTTCCATAATTACTTTTCTGCTAAATGTTCTAGATAATTCTATTTTACTTCAGACTTTCAGGATCAAATAAGCAGTCATACTCTTAGCAGCTTACTGTGGACAGTAAAAAAGGACTTCTTGCATGAAGAAGTTATAGAGGCTGAGTACATTTTAAGTAGTGTCAGTTAAATTTTTGGATATCATCATTGAACTGATTTAAATGACGATAATGCTAATCACGGCTTCCTTAGAATCCTGTTCTTGGATTTTTAACCTGTGATTGAACATTCCTATATCGGTATTTCCTATCACCTCCTGCTTAATAGCTTTGGATTTAAACTATATAAAGTTCTCACTGATATATGATATCATCATTCTCACAGTCACCTGGACTCAAATTTTTATAGATGTCTTTGATACCACTCAAGACCTAGTGATTCTTTATAGCATCAACTTAATCCTACTTGTCACCACCATTCCTGGAATACTGTGTTTAGCTTTGAAGAGATGAATGTTTTTTAAACAATACTTTCTTGTTCCTTTTACTCAATTTAGTGATCCTTGTTGCCTACAGGAAAAGTTTAAATGAGGTATTTTCCATAGTTAAATAAAGTATACGAGAGTACTTTGAAAACCTTTGAAATCTCAATTTACAAAGAATTATTGGATGACTGATCACTTGTCAGCTTTATTTTCTTGTGTTTTCCTTACAAGAGCCAGATAAATGCTCTATTCCATAACCAGATACTATTTTCATCTTTAGTTGGTTCAGCTCAAATTTATTAAGCATTTGTATTTATGGAATATTTGTCCCATATTCCTCTTACTTTCAGTTGTTCATTCAAAATTGAATTCCAAGCTTAGCCCCTCTGTAAAACTTACCTTGGATCATAATAAAATTTTCTTTTCAACCAGAAATGTGAAATTCACTGACTTATATCTTCTCTCACACACTGGGTATATGTACAAGATAAAATATATACCAAAAAGTGTGTAACACATGGAAAGTTTAGTGAATTTTTTTTCAGTTTTCTTAAGCTGTAATTATCCTACAGTTTTGTGTAAGTTTAAGGTATACTGCTTAATAGCATATGTTGCAAAATGATTACCACAATAAATTTAATTAACCATCTCATAATAGTTAACCAAAAAAAAAGTTATTTAAAAGTGATCATCTGTAACCCCAATCAAAATTCAAGAAAAGGACAAGTATCCCAGAAACTCACCACATGCCCTCCCCAGTCAAACCAGTGTCTTCCCTCCTCCCTATAGGTTATGATTTTCCTTTCGTGATGTCCTATCATTACTTCTCAAGTTTAAGTGAATGGAATCAAAACTTTTACTTTTCCAGGGCCTCCCTGGTGGCACAGTGGGTTGAGCACAGCGCTGTGAAGCTGTCCACAGCCTCTGCAGCACTGGTTCGATTCCCGGCCAGCCCTGGAGATACCCACATGGCGTAGCAGACCTCGCCTGCCTCGCCTGCTGCTCCCCTCAGCAGTGTTTTCAGTCCGTCTGCCTGTTCTGCTCCCTGCTCTGTCTCTGGTGAATCCTCTCACCCCCCGCACCTCTGACCTAGACCCAGTTCTTGTATAAGCAAATAAATCTTAAAAAAAAAAAAACACTTTTACTTTTTCCCCAACATTTTGGTGTTAGTGTTTCTAAGTTCATTTTCTTTGCTGTACAGAATTTCATTTATCATTTTCATTTATCAATGAAGATTTTAATTGTTTACAGTTAGGGTCTATTAGGAATATATTACTAAAAACATTCTCGTGTATTCTATATGCATGTTTTTCTACATTATTTCCCTAGTAGTTGAATAACTCCAGTTTTATTGCGATGGAGATGAATAATTCCACTTTTACTAGATAAAGCCAGTTTTCAAAAAAGATTGGCCCAATTTAGACTTCATCAACAGCACGGGACACATCCTACCTGCCAATGTTGGGATTGTGCCATTTGGGTCAGTTTGTACCAGTAGCTCCTTGTGGTTTAAATTTGCATTTCCCTGTTACTTGGTGATAGGTAAGCACTTTTCCGTGTGTTTATTAACCACCTTGAGTTATTTTTAAAATGTATCCTTTATTCTTGTGTTGAAAATTTCCATTTAAAAATGTATCTTATGCAGTCTTTTCACTTACTAAAGGTACTAAATTTTTATCAGCACCAGCCTGGTGTTCATGCTGTAGCTGATTGGTCCGAAGACCGTATGAGATAGAGGAAATTTTGGTTCTCATGCCAATTCCACCAAAATGAAATTTATCAACAAGCAAGGCCTTTTTTGGCCTAATTAGCACTAACTTGGTAGCAATTATTGTGAGTGGCTATTTTTTATGAGTACCTCTGCTAAGTGCTCTACACCTGTCTAAGCCTGGTATCAAGACACAAAATCCTTCACTCATGAGCTTAGTTTTAGAGTCAGTATTAACGACTGCATTTATCCAAGCCAGTTTTATGCCATGCAACACTGAACAATCATTGACAGGAATTAGATAAAAAGTATTGAGGCAGCCAGTAGTCAATAAGCATGTAATCTTTGGAGTCAAACAGACCTAGCTTTCAGTTCTCATTCCAGAGATGTGTGACTGCACAAGTTGTCTAATTGCTCTGAAATTCACTTTTGTCATGTGCAAAATGGAAATAATACCGTCCAATGTTATGATGGTTCAGCGAGGTAATTAATACATGTGAACTGCACAGTCCATCACCTGGCAGGTGTCCATCATCAACAGTGATGAAATCTGAAACCACCTTCTCAGCCAGTCTCCAGGCTACATAATGTTTGAGGTTGAGCACTGTGGGAAGGAAAGACATTGGAATGGCTCCCATGTGTGCCTTGATCAACTCTGAAGATGGTACATAATTTAGCTTCCATTTTTGGACTTCTGGGTTGTGGAATGAGGGAAAAGTTTTTGTGGAATAGGAAAATGATGTAAGAGATGCTTTAAAGCATTTGAAGTCCCCCTAAGTGCAGAAGCAAAATAAAAGGAAAACTAGTATTGCCACATCTTCCTTCTACGGCCGTTACACATGTGCTGGAGATCTTTGTGTTTTCTCTTTTGTGATTATGACTGTTGTTTTCTAACTCTGTTTATATGCCTTAACTGCCTCTCCATTTTCATTTCATTATTGTTCCCCGAGTGATATTAAAATGAAGGTATTTTACTTTACTGTGATTGGCATTGAAACTAAAAGTTAAATGGGAGAACAGTAAAATTGAGTGACTACCTGTATTCAGGGTGATGTTATTACCCATGTGTTGTTTGTACTGTTTCATTACAGCTTGTGGATTTTCAGTGGAAATTGGGAATGGCTGTGAGCTCCAACAATTGCAGATCGCTTAAGTATCCTTACGTGGCAGTGATGCTAAAAGTGGCTGATCAGTCAGGGCAAGTAAAGAACAAGTCCTTTGAAATGACAATTCCACAGTTTCAGGTTTGTGATTTGACTCATTCAATTTTAGCTCATTGTTCTGTAATTGCTGCTTTTAAAAAGATGTTCAAGATCTTTCTTAGAGGGAAATTTTAATCACCATTTATTTGCATTTGTTTTCATGTGCTTTCCATTTGTTAGTACACACAAAAGATCTAAATTTGTTCCCTTTGGGAATTTCATGAATTATTTTCCATTTACAATGTTGAATGTGTCTATTGTTGCTCTCACTTTTACAGTTTTCTATTAATGTATTTGAGAAAATGTCATCTCTGGCAGGACATTTACTCTGCATTTGACTGTTTTATTCTTCTTGTGCTTAGTGGTCAAGAATGTTAAGCTAAATGAATCTTCTCTTTGAGCAGTGATGACCCTAAATTTTCTGACTAATTATGTTTACAGGGGGCAAGTCAGAGCACCAGAACTTGATGACTAGTCTTACAGAGGTTTGAGCAACTCAGTAGTCTATATTTACAGTCACATTATTCCTATTATCATTCTACCTCTTTTCTGTGAATGAAGAAGAAAAAGGGGGAGTGGTTGAGAAATCAAATATACTTTTTTTAAAAAAGATTCATTTATCTATGCGTGCAAGAGCCGAGGTACAGGCCAGAAGCATGGTGGGTGAGAGGATTCACCAGAGACAGAGTGGGGAACAGAACAGGCAGATTGACTGAAGTACACTGCTGAGGGGAGCAGCGGGTGAGTCAGGAGAGGTCTGCTGCGCCATGTGGGTAGCTCCCTGGCCAGGCAGGGGATCAAACTCATGCTGCAGAGGCTGCGGACAGCTTCATAGGTTGCATCCCAACCCCCTGTGCCACCAGGGAGGCCCCTCAAATATACTTTTAAGTGTTCAAACAGGAAAGTATCACCTGCCATTGACTAATTTAACTCACCTTAGAGTTTTGCTTTTGTTTCATTGTCTTGTTCCCTTTGGTGAGTGAATAGGTCAGAAGCCCTGCAGCAGCAAAAGCAACCATACTGAATAAAGTGGAAATGGGATGAGAATTCTTTATAAAATTTATGGAAAATATCGATTCCCGGCCGGCCAGGGAGATTCCCATATGGCGTGGCAGACCTCTCCTGTTGCGCCTGCTGCTCCCCTCAGCAGTGCTTTCAGTCTGTCTGCCTGTTCTGCTCCCTGCTCTGTGTCTTGTGAATCCTCTCACCTCTGCACCTCTGGCCTGTACCCCAGCTATTGTATAAATAAAAAATAAATCTTTTAAAAAATAATAAAGAAAAGCTTTGTAAATGCCATTTTAGGAGGCTTTGGATTTTTTCTTCATAAATTATGGTTTTCCCTCAATCTGATTTAAGTATAATTGACAAAATTGTATCAATATGTAGTTAAGGTGTACAATGTGCTGTTTTGGTACATATATACATTGTGAAATGATTACCATAATCAAGCTAATTAACATATCTATCACCTGACATACTTAACCTGTGTATATGTGTGATGAGAACACTTCAGATCTATTTTCTTATCAGATTTCAAATATAAAAATATATTAACAATATTAACAGTATTCACAATACTACACTCTAGGTCTCCAAAACTTACTTCATATGATGACCGAACATTTCTACCTTTTGACCAGCATTATCCATTTCCCCCACCCTAGCCCCTGGTGATCTCCATCTACTCTCTGTTACTTTGAGTTTCACTTTTTTAGATTCCACACTTATGTATTATAATGTATTTGTCTTTTCGGTGTCTGGTTTATTTCACCAAAAGTAATGTCCTCCAGGTTCATCTATGTTGTCAAAAATAGCAGGGTTTCCTTCTTTATAGAGGTTGATTAGTATTCTCTATATAGCACATATTCTTATTCATCTGCAAATAGATATATACCTTGTTATTTCTATATCTTGGCTACTGTAAATAACATTGTAGTGAAAAGGGAGTGCAGGTATCTCTTTGAGGTAATGATTTTATTTCTTTTGATATTTACCTAGAAGTGGAATCACTGGATCATACCATAGTGATATTTTATAAATTATATTTTAAGTGTTTTCTTTCCCTTTGATTTCCTTTAAAATAGATATCTCTGCATTAGAACAAAAAATAATGGTTATAGAATCAGCATTATTAATTCTAAATTGGTGTCTTGGAAGGAAGTAGGACTTGATGAAAAGGAAATGAATGTGGTGAATTGTACTATGTGAGTAACTTTCAGTTGAATAGAAGGACCAAATCAATTTCAAAAGAGAATATAGGTTTAATCTTTCTTATAATTCACAATCCTGGCCTAGTTTTTACTTTTCTGCATAGCACTCATCTCTGACTCTACCTTTAAAATGTTTTTCTCATAGGAAAAAAAGTAACACAAGTGAGGCAACTCTTCCAAAGGTAGTTTTTACATGATTTAAAGTTAACCAGGCAATCATAGCACACTAGTCAAATTACAGGACTGAAAACTCTCATTGAATTTTTAACTCACATCTTTCTGGTACCTGAAATTTTAAGCATCAGTTTATACAGTTTATATCTTCAAAGAAGTTACATTCTGCTTCATTCTATAATGAATGCACATAAATGAAAACAAAATACATATATTCTTAAGCAGCAAATTAGAGAATTAAGACCCAAAAAGAAGGGAAATACAAATAAAGAAATCATTAGAAGGCATCCTAATTTTTGAAGTGAAGTTTCCCTGTTTACCTCTCCTGGCAGGTAGAGGAGAAAGGAAAAGAGATTTTGTTCAATATCTTTCTTACCTGAGTTAACAAAGATGACTTCTACAGAACCACCATCACAGCTTAATTTTTAAATGAAAAAGAAATAAGCTTCTACCATATAAACCATTGTTAATGTTGCATCACTTACTGTACCCGAATCCATATCTTAAAAAGGACGGTTCCTCTCACCCTGAAATGCAATGTGATTTGAAGCCTGTGAACTGTCCTGTCTTTTTGTTCTTATCTTCAGTGACTACAACAGTGCTGGGCATTTAATAAATCTTTCTGGTGTGGTCTCAAAAGTACTTTCTCGTGCTTTTTAAAAACTTCAGTCATGCGCTAATTATCTAATTCTATAGTAATATTTTTCTTGCGGTACCAGAAAAATTGCACCTGTATATTTCTAATGGTAACCTTCAATAATAATAAAGAATGCAAACAATATGTGACATAGCCTCTGGTGGTCAAATATAATTAAAAGTAGTACCTTAATGTCATCTGAAGGCAAAATTAATCTTTTTCTTTTTCTTTTCAGAATTTCTACAAACAGTTCAAGGAAATTGCTGCAGTTATTGAAACTGTGTGAAACTGACTTGGCTGATAGATTACTCTCATCCTTCCAAAATCATGGACTTCACTTTCTGTAACAAAATTGCATAAGAATCAAATTATATTTATTGAATAAAAAATTACACTTTTGTTTTTCTATTTTTTTAATAAAAAATCAGACAAGCAGGAATTATTGGTAATTAATGGATAACTTTGTGAATGTACCAAAATCCACTAAATTGAATACTTATAAAGGGTGAACTCTGGTGTGTTAATTATATCTCAATAAAAAAAAAAATCAAACAATTGGATGATTGATATTGAAGACACAATTTATATGTTAGACCAGTAGTTTTAAAACTTACAGGTACTGGTACTAATTTTATAAACAAAATCTTATATGAATGAAAAATTAGTATTTGATAAAGATAAAGTTACTTTATAATTCCATTTTATAATATTCACTTAATATAAAAACAGTCAATGAGAGAGGTGAGACAGCTGCTCTCAAAACATTTGGAATCAGGTTAGAATTGACCATTACTTATGTTAGCCAATCATTAATTGTTATTAGTATTTAAAGAAATTTCAAATACATGCAGAGATAGAAAAATAAATTTTATTCTGAGTTCTATATACAACTGGCTTACCCAGATAGTACAACATATTGTGTTAGATGATCTCAGTCGAATTTAAATTTGTGTACTCTAGTTGTTGTTTTTTTTTAAATATTTATTTTATAGAAGAACTGGGGTGTAGGCCAGAGGTACAAGGGAGTGGGGGTGAGAAGAATCACCAGAGACAGAGTGTGGAGCAGAACAGGCAGATCTTCTGAAATATACTGCTGAGGAGAGCAGTGGGTGAGACAGGAGAGATCTGTCGTGCCATGTGGGTTAGCTCCCTGACTGGGAATCAAACTCAGACCTTAGAGGTGATAGCACTGAGACTTAATCCCTAGGCTACCAGGGAGGACCCTAGTTGTTAGAATACTTTATAAAACCACAGCAAAACTATATAGCAGTGCTTACAAATTAGTCACTGGAATAGATTGGGTAGTCTAGAATTAGATAAAAATATTTTGGACAGGGCCTCCCGGGTGGCGCAGCAGGTTGAGCACAGTGCTGTGAAGCTGTGTGCAGCCTCTGCAGCACCAGTTCAATTCCCTGCCGGCCAGGGAGCAACCCACATGCACAGCAGACCTCTCCTATCTCACCCGCTGCTCCCCTCATCAGTGTTTTCAGTCCGTCTGCCTGTTCTGCTCCCTGCTCTGTCTCTGGTGAATTCTCTCACCCTCCCGTGCCTCTGGCCTGTACCCAGTGCTAGTATAAATAAATGAATCTTTAAAAAAAATATATATATATATCTTGGACAATGATGGTATTTTAATTGAGTGGGAAAATATAATTTATATACTAAATAGTGCAGTCATGGACAAATAATTCAAGATGGATTAATGATAAATAAATACAAAGGATAAAAATTAGATATCTAAAGAATATTATATTAATATAGGTGGGGAACAGCAACCCCGCAGATATAAAACTGTTGGAAAAAAAAATCAGAAAAGTGTAAGTATATATAAAATGAAATATGTGGGAAAAAAATAGGCAATCAGACAAAAGAAGTGCTAGATGGTTGTGTAAGTTCTTGATCTGGAAAACAAATTGCTTTAAATATTTCAAGTAGGAAGATAATTTATACAAGAAATTGTTCATTAATCTGTCAGAAAAATTGAAGGAACAATTCAGGAGAAATCTTTGCTGGCTTTTAGAAAATCCAGGGGTACAGAAATTTCAGGGAAAGCCACTGCTAATAGTCTTCACAAGGCAGAAGTTCACCTGGAGCCACTGTACTGACCCTTTCTGCCACCTGTCAGCATGCTTAATGAAGCAGGCTACTTTCTTCACCCTTTTCTTCATAATGAGGGTCCTTCTCATTGATGGAAGTTAAATCAGGACTCAGTGGACACATGAACCTAGTCAATTGAGTCTCCAGTTTTCAGTGCCTATAGAAGGGAGATTTGGAAGAATAAGAATGATGCTGAGAATTCTTACTTTGTTGACAGAATATGGTCTTTCTGCAAGTCATTGAAGGCTACAGGCTCATTTGTAGATAACAAGCCATTCTGAACTTGGGTTCCATCTGTGACACATGGCAGGTCCAATTTCCATCATGTCTACATACCAAGCAGCAGAAGAGGGAAAGGGACAGGCATACTCATCCATGTAAACGTATCTCCTAGGTGTTAGCTCATTCCACTCACACCCCATGGCCAGAACCTACTCATGCAGCCACATCTAACTGCAGAGGAAACTAGAAACAGTCTGTAGCTGGGTAGCTGTGCACACAGTTAAAATTTTATTGCTATATTATGAGTGAAAAATGGATTCTAAGGAAAACTAGCAACGACTGGAACAGTATTCCTCTTTGCTCACCAACTATAGGCATCCTTCTTTGTGCTTGCAGAACATGTTCATCTTCACAAGGAAGACAATTCTAAAGTCCCAGCCAGTTTCTGCACCCAGATACAGACAGCCTCCTTCCAAAGCTGTGTTCCCTCTACCTCTGCACATAAACCTTGCCTGAGAACTCTGACAAATGTGGCAAGAAGGGGGCTATACACCAGCGTTCTGACATTTTCTTTCTAATTCCTCTGGTGCAGTGGTTCTTCTCAGGGGGCAGACCAGTTCCAACTTCTTTTCTGGTTATTCCAAAGACTGTGACAAATACATTCAAACAGAGATTTTGGCATTTCCATAGAAAATGGGCATTTTCTAGGAAATTATCATTTTAAGGAAAGCAAGAAGTTAAAAGAATACCCATGGGAACTCATATATTGTTGAAGGAAGTAAATATTGATCCAATCACTTTTGAAAATGATTTGAATTATCTAATAAAGTTGAATTATGTATGTCCTATGCCTCAGCAATTCTACTGCTAGAATCCTTACCCATTTATCTTCATGAATGTCCTTAGCTTCTTGTTCACAATAGGGAAGCACTTGACAACCCAAATGACCACGGACAGGAGAGCTAATAATAGTGGTATGTTTTCCACAGTATATTATTGTATTGAGGGAAAATTAACAAGCCAAAAATACAACACTATAGGTGGAGATTAGTCACATAATGTTGAATATGTGTGCGTGTAAAAATTTATAAAAAAATAAGTAAGGGCCTCCCTGATGGTGCAAAGAGTTAAGTCTCAGCATTGTGAAGCTATCAGCATCCCCTGAAGCATGAGTTTGAGCCCCACATGGTTCAGGAGACCTCTCCTGTCTGACCTGCTGCTCCCCCTCTGCAGTGTATTTCTGTCAATCTGCCTGTTCTGCTCTCCACCTGTCTCTGGTGAATCCTCTCACCCCCAACACCTCTGGCTCACACCCCAGCTCTTGTATGTATAAATAAATAAGTAAAAAAATGAAAAGCAAAATAGAGGTAGTAGTTACTTTCGTACCATAATGTAGGGAGAAGTCAGGGGCAGAACAGAAGAGGAAACCATAACATGAGATTATTGGTAACGTTCAGTTCTTTAGGTTGGGTGATAAGTTCATGGCATTTATTATATCATTAGCATACATAAAATAAGAGAGCTATGTTTAGACCAATGGCAAAAGTATGTCACAAACTAAGGACCATGATGAAATGATTAATCCAGTATTTAAGTATGTGCCTCTGAAGTGAAAACAAACAAGTAATAAGTCTCTGATGCACAGCATTTTGCTATGGATGATGGAAATGAGTCTATGGACCAGCATCTAGAGCTTTGAAAGTCAAACTCAATCAGGCCAGTGAGCTAACCTTAGGAGGAATGGTTCATGCTGACCAAATTCACTGAATGCCATTATAGAGATTAAAACCCATACTTACTAATTTATATTGAAAAATGTAAGGGAAGAGGGGACTGTAATGGTTTTGATACTCATTCACTCAACACATATTTATTGAACATACCTGATGTGCTAATCACTTGGGGTACAGCAGCGAAAAGACAGCTTTCAGAGGGCTTCTGACCTATTGGGGAAGGGAAGTAATACAATCAATAACACATAACAAAAATCAACTGGTTAGTTTACTATAGAATGTGGGAGAGCAGAAGATTTATCCATTTTGCACAATGAATGAACATGACATTGGGTCGGGGGGAGGGGTCTTCAACATGGCTGCTGGCAAGATTTCATGCTGTCTGGACCAGTGAATGCCCCGTCTTCCATTTGTCTCTTTTCTTGGGGGAGGCTTTTATTACCCTGTGCTTGGCCCACCAGTTCATATAGGGTGTGTAGGGGGTGAGCAGGGGGTGAGTAGACATGTTAACTCAAAAATTCTGAGATTGCTATGCTACATAGATGCTTATGATGGAGACAAGGATGCATCAAATGGAGACGCTGCTCTTTGATAAAAGCTTTAATGTTTTAAAAGTGTAGGAAGAGAGGTGTCAGTGACTATTTTGAGACCAGAGGGGCAGCCCCAGGTAGAAATGGTAGTTATTTCTTCAGCTGTAAAACAGGGATAACAGCCCTTAGGGTTGCCGCGAAAATTAAGCACCACTTTTGAAACACAGTAAACACTGAAAACATTAACACCCCTTGAGGAATGCAAATCAGAAGGTTGCTCAGTGACATGAAGACAGAAAAAAGGGAATTATAGAAGCCATCTATGATTCACTGGTAAGATGTCTCTGTCCAGCAGGCTCAGGCACAGCAGACAGCTGGACACTGTAATGTACCCCTCATAGTGCTTAGTGGTATATTGACTCATTCTGTCTTTGCTTCTCATTTTCTGTATTAATGGTGTATATTTTCTCACCATTCTTGTTGTAGATGTCCAATAGATTTAGCACTTCTTTTCTTCCTTCCTATGTGGCTTTATCTGAAAATTTCCTTGCTTCAGCCCTCACGGGAAAGTTTTGAAATGTCTGACCATAACACATACAGGAAGAGAAGTAAAAGATGTCAAGGAAGGTAATTACATGTAAAAATAAGAGGAAAAAATTGCAATCAGTGCCGAGAAATGTCGTGCATAGGTTACCATCCTGTACAGTAGTGTAGACTGGGTTACAATTTAACTATTAGTTTTCTAAAGTTAAAATTAGGAAAGAACCCCCCCCAAAAAAACCCTCTCAAGCACTCATTAGAGTGACTGCAAGATAAAAGCAAAACATACAGTTTAGTCAAGAGATGCAAATGGGTCCTGCCTAGTAAAAAGAGCACTTCACAGATCAGCTATCATTTTACACTAACAACATCTATTGATAGACCCCAGTTAAAAGAGATTTTTATCAATTGTTCCTAACACTGGTTATAGCATCGCAAGGGACATCATAGCAAGTTATAGTTAGAATCAATTGTTGTAGATTTCTTGAATTACAATGCATAGGGATCCCTAAATTTTCGTTAGTAGTGAATTTAAAAACGTTTCTTATGTTGGCATGCAAACTACAAATTCTCAATTTAAGGATTCTTTTAAAAGTAGATTAGGGGGCCTCCCTAGTACGCAATGGGTTGAACACTGCACTCTGAAGCAGTCCACAGCCCCTGCAGCACTAGTTCAATCCCTGGCCAGGGAGAGACCCACATGGCGTAGCAGACCTCTCCTGTCTCACCCGCTGCTCCCCTCAGCAGTGTATTTCAGTCAATCTGCCTGTTCTGTTCCCCACTCTCTCTGGTGAATCCTCTCACCACCACCCCCAGCATCTCTGGCCTATACCCCAGCTCTTATATGCATAAATAAAAAATAAGTAGATTGGGGATTGCGTTTGGGGTCATTAAGACAACCCTTAGTTTTTTATTTCTTTTTTAAGATTTATTTATTCATGCATACAAGAACTGGGGTACAGGCTAGAGGTGTGGGGGTTGAGAGGATTCACCAGAGAAAGAGTGGAGAACAGAACAGGCAGGTTGACCGAAGTACACTGCTGAGGGGAGCAGCGGGTGAGTCAGGAGAGGTCTGCTGTGCCATGTGGGTTGCTCCCTGGCTGGGGATTGAACTTGTGCTGCAGTGGCTCGGATTGCTTCATAGGTTGCGTTTCAACCCCTTGCACCACCAGGGAGGCCCCAACCCTTAGTTTTTTAATTAGAAGAACTCAGCATATGGTCATATAGTGAAAAGATGTGAAGCATGACCTCCCTGGTGGCCTAGGGTTTAAGTCTCAGTGCTACAACTGCAATGGCTTGAATTCAATCCCCGGCCAGGGAGCTAATCCACATGGCACAGCAGACCTCTCATGTCCAGCCTGCTGCTGCCCTCAGCAGTGTATTTCAGTGTATTAATCTGCCTGTTCTGCAACCCACTCTATCTCTTGTGAATCTTCTCAACCCCACATCTCTGGCCTGCACCCCAGTTCTTCTACACAAAAGTAAATAAAATTAACAACAACAAAAAAAAGGTGTGAAGCAGAATCAGCAAAGAGAAGGCATGTGAGGATAAACCCAGGGTAAAGCAGATGAAAGTTTTCAAGATTCCTCTTCTGATGAAGTCACATATAATTCCTCAAGCAACAAATTGTGACAAATTATGGGAAATGTTGCCAAGGAGAGATGCTCATTAGAGGCTCTCAACAGGGAAGGATTTTATTGGGACTGAACATATAGGCACCACTGCCTGGCACTCACACAAATTTTAGACTCCCAGAAGGAATGCTGGGGTTTGCATAAATTATATTGTTTGTTCAAATAGTTCAGACACATTCATATCAGTTAATGATGGGAACTCTCCTGATATCAATTTCCCAGATGCCAGCCAAGAGCATCCTTGTAAGCAGGGGTTTTGAAGTATGAGCACTTAGGACTGCTACATTAACTCTTTTCTGCACGGGAGCAATTAAACGCATTTAACATTCTGGTGGTAACTTGCTATATAGCTTTTTATATATATTGCCTAAAGAAATAATCTACCTCCTTTTGTGCTAGTTCACATTTCATTAACTCTTAGGAAATGAATGCTGTTAGGATAAATCTACACTATACACTTGGCTATACTGATCAAGAATTTCAGAATTAAATAATTAAAAATCTTCAAATTTGAATAAGAAATTTCTTAGGTAGACCATTAGTTACATGGAATTTTACTATTTTATGTCATTTGCAAAGGAGTGCTGATTTTACTAGGGCCTGTATTTAATAAGGGGAATATTCCACTATTGATTTAACCACCATTTCTCAGCACACAGAAATATTAAGTATAATGGATTGCACAGCTTGATGAACTTGATCTTGATTTATGTTCTTTTGAATAACAGTGCCCTAGGCAAAAGTAGCTATTAATCTTCAGCTACTCTTAGCATATGAAGAACATTTGTTAAAGAAATGCACTTATAGGGAGGGGGAAAATAAAAATAAAGAAAAGCACTCACATGCCATACTGCATTTCACATTTCTATGGCAAATGAAAGAACAAAAGAATATTTAAGATGTGCCATTTCAGAACTGTTATTATCATGAAAACACAGCACGAAGGGAGACTTCAGAGTGTAAGCTGTGGTGATTCAGGCAACAGGTTTGAGGGAGTCACATATAAATTAATATTCTGGCCTATAGAAGTTTTTAAAGGAATGGTAGGACAAATGCTTTTAGAGACAAAGACTGTCATGGTCTCCTTCCAATATCTGCAAATCCCTTCAAACTATAAAAGCAGCTTAATTTGAAGGATGGGGCTTCCTGCAGTGAAGGTCTATAGCAACGAGTATAAACCCTGGGGGACCAGTGTTTCCAGTGTGTGGTTATATCTATTATCATTTTGCTGAATGTCTGAATTGCTTCACTTAGGTTTGTAATAAGTTCATTTCTGGCCCAGAGGACTTTGAATTTGCTTGATTCATCAAGTTGGACACCCGAATTTCCTTCTGCTGTACAATATGATTTCTTTCTTTTCATAATATTCTATAATATTCAGTCTTTTTGTACAAGACCACCTTTCTTAAGGCTTTGTGTTTCTTAAGACTTTGTGTTGCCTCTATTTCTTCTGTTTTTTTGCTGGCTGGAAAGCCACCATGTGCTTCACCTGCTACTTCATATCAGTTTATTAGTTTATTTTGAAATATTAGATTTTATAGGTTCATCATCTGTTGTCATGTCTTCTTGAAGCATTTTTTTTTATTATGGTTTGTTAGGGTTTTTTATCCTTTATTCTACTTTTTCATGTAATAATTTTACATGAAACTTGGCTTAAGTTTTATTAAATTAATTCTTTTATTGAGGTTTACAACACAGCATATGATTTAGGCATATAACTTCATACCTCTTCAGATGTATGTCATCACACCAACCCCATCACCAAAGCACCACCATCCTCTGCCACCACCCATTGAGCCCCCGGCCTGCTCTGCTCCACCCCCAGCTTCCTCTTCTGGTCGTCTTAGTTCTGCAGTTGTATTTCTTTTTTTTTTTCCAATTTTTTTTTATATTCCCCATACAATTGCACCCCCCTTATTTTGACCCCATCCCTTCCTTCCCCACCCCCTCCCCCATAGTGTGTCTCTGGTTTATAGTTGTTTGTTGATTTTGATTTTTCCTTTCTTATAGTTATTCTTTTTCCCGGTCCCTTATTCAGTTTTTCTAGATTCTCTGCAATTGTATTTCAAAGGTTTTTTTTGTGTGTTCCTTTTCTTTGTTTCCTTAAATTCTACATATAAGTGACAGCCAGTACTTGTTTTTCTCCTCCTGACTTATTACACTTAGCATAATCCTCTCCAGTGCTATCCATGTTGTCCCAAATGGCAATTTTGCATGAAATTTGACTGAATTCTTTTCTATTGCTTGTTTTGAAAATGAAATGAGTTGTCCCATACTTTATAATGGTGAGGTCCAATAAAAAAGATTTTCTAGCTTCCCTGTTTCAGGTCTCCTTCTTCTGTTGCTATTGCAAAATTCAAAAAAAAAAAAAAATAGCTTCTTTCAGAGACTGCCTCTCACTGCTGTTTTTTTTTTATTTTTTATTTTTATTTTTAGAAAATTGGGCCTCCCTGGTGGTGCAGGGGTTAAAGTCTCAGTGATATCCCCACAGCTACTGCAACATGAGTTTGATCCCTGGCCAGGGAGCTGACTCACATGGCCCAGCATACCTCTCCTATCTCGCCTGCTGCTCCCCTCAGCAGTGTGTTTCAGTAGATCTGCCTATTGTGCTCCCCATTCTGTCTCTGGTGAATCCTCTCACCCCCAGCAGCTATGGCCTACACCCCAGTTCTTATACATAAATTAAAAAAAAATAGAAAATCAATAGATTGCTTACCAAGGGAGAATTACTTTAAAACAGAGAATATCAAAATGTATAGCAAAGAGAGAAGTGAAAATTTAATCAAAAGCATGTAATATGTTTAATGATCTAAAACAGAATAATGATTTTCTAGAGATATAGCCACAACCATAAAATATTACCTGATTTAAATAACTTTTCTCATGTACATTAGAGCAAAGTGATGAGATAATTTAGTAACTATAAAATCCAGAGGCAGATCCAGTGCTTCTTGGAATGTTTTTAATTCCTTAATTATCATTTTGACTCCTTCCCTCCCCCTAATCTACTGGCTTAAAGATAAATTTCCTAGGTCAACTTTTGCAGTGTTTTCTTTTAAGTAATCTCACCATTAGATAATCAATTATTTTGGCAAAGTTCCCTGTGAAGCTACATGTGTTATTCAAGAGTTTGTGTTGCAGCCTCTGAAATTTTGATGAGAAGTAATTTAAAAAATCCTAGAGTTTGTAAATAATGCTTTATCTATATACATCATTTGTTGGTTAGGTAATGACTAGCATCAACATACCATTTATTAATTTTTCTGTTCGATTTTCATGTTGGGTTGTAATACTTAACCTTGTTTGTCAAATTTGTCAGTTTCCCTGATTATTGTAACAAACCATCCATCTTATAACTATTTAATCTTTCAGAGGGATGTTGAGCTTTCTCTATTCGATCCTGATAGAATTGGTTTGTTAAGACCTTTGACTTAAGCCACATTCCTGGAGATTTGAAGTAGGGGCTTGTCTAAAAGAGTTTTCTACCATCAGCCTCCTGAGAGAACGGAGGGACTTAAGCCCTTGGTACGACTAGAGCTGAGACTTATGAGCAGGTTTCCATGTCCCTTGTTTTTTTTTCCCCAAAGATGACTCAAGCACTGCACGAAGGTACTGAGTAGACAATGAAGTCGGTCTACCCCACTTCCTGCACCTTATGCCCAGTTTGCTCCACTGAAGTCTGTGGGTCAATATCTAGTTAGGTAGTTATCAGAATTGTAATGAGTTTTAAGGAATGTCTTCAAGGGGAAATGATGAAACACAGTTCAGACAGGGAGGCAGAATTGTCCAAAATTTTGGACTGTCAGGGAGCTATTGGCATTTCTCAAATGTGCTGGGACAATGCCAGGAAAACAAAGGCGAGAATAAGTAACGAAGTTTGTTAGCAGGAGGAACTAGGGAATGAGTTTCTCAGACTTCTCTCTTAGGCCTTGTACAGGGAGTATAGGCTGGGCCACACCTTCCAGAACCACTGTAAACACTGGAGACTGGAAGCTGCGGAAAGGGACCTTTCACTGAAGCACACTTTTATTTTTTTTAATTTTTAAAATTTTTTTACATCATTGTTCATTTTTAAACAATATTTGCTTCCCTCCACCCCCTCAAGTGTAGTTCCCATAGAGTTTCCTTCACCAATGCACCCGTGCACTGAAGCATACTTTTAGAACATCTTTTTTTTAAAAGATTTATTTATTTATGCATACAAGAACTGGGGTCCAGGTCAGAGGTGCAGGGGATAAGAGGACTCACCAGAGACAGAGTAGGGAGTAGAACAGGTAGATTGACTGAAATATACTGCTGAGGGGAGCAGCGGGCAAGATAGGAGAGGTCTGCTGCGCCATGTGGGTCACCTCCCTGGCCAGGGATTGAACTGGTGCTGCAGTGGCTGTGGACAGCCTCAAAGTTCTGCGTCTTAACCCCTTGTGCCACCAGGGAGGCCCCCCCATAGGAGACTATTTCTAAGTCTTTTTCATTCTTTTCTGTAATTCCAAGCTGTTGACCTCTTTTATTTCTCTATGATAATCTCTTCTTTCATTTCTAAAGGAAAACATCATCTGATGGAGCTTTCTCAAGTGCTCAACACCACATCTGCCAAATGACCTGCTCCCACACTATTTCCACCTTCTTACCTTTTTGATAGAAGAGATGTCCTACTCCTTGTCTGCAGATAACTCCTTCATCTAGTTTCTTGATTAAATGCCTTCCTGCCTCCTAAGGAATGTACTTATTTGTTTAATAAACATGCATCAGGCCTCTTTGGTGGTGCAAGGGGTTAAGCACAGCACTGTGACGCTGTCTGCAGCCTCTGCAGCACAAGTTCGATCCCTGGCCAGGGAGCTACCCACATGGTGCAGCAGATCTCTCCTGACTTGTCCGCTCCTCCCCTCAGCAGTGTATTTGAGTCAGTCTGCCTGTTCTGCTCCCCACTCTGCTCTGGTGAATCCTCTCACCCCCCTTACCTCTGGGCTGTACCCCAGTTCTTGTATGCATAAATAAATCTTAAAAAAAAAAAAGTGTTGATCATCTACTTTGCAGCCAGTGCCAGGCTCCATGCACTGATAAACTCTTTTCTGTTTTGTAGAGTCAGTTTCTCTTACTCTACTGGTTCCTTCACCAAAGTGTTTAACCATGTTTAACACTCGTATCTAGTTAAAACCACTTTAAATAAACTAAACGGAAAAAAATCTCTTCTTCCATTTACTTTCTGCAGCTACTAGCCTGTCTCTTTTTCTCTTGAAAGTTAAGTATCTCTGAAACAGTTTATACTTAGTATTTTCACATCTCCGTTCCCCATTCATTCTACAATTTGTGGATCAGAGTTTCTGCTCTTAAGGTTCCCAGTGAAAGTGTTTCCACTGTGGTCAGCAATAAGTGGCCCGCATCTAAATTAAATGGACACATTTCGGTCATTGACCTTATTTAATCTGTATGCAGCATTTGAAATTGTGATCATTTTCTTTTGTCACTGGGTTTGTAGGACACCACATTCATCTTTCCCCGTCTATCTGCAAGTTACACTTTTTTGTCAGTATTACCTGTAAATGCTGATGTTCCTCATGTTCTCCTAGGCAAGATTTCCTTCTCACTGTCATGAGTATAGGATTGATGTCATCAGTTCCCAAGACTGTAATTATCACCCACGTCATGGAGGAAAATGCTTGACATTGAGTTTAGACATGAAGTTGCTGGAATCGCAGACTATCTTGTTTAAATAGGTCTATGAGGAGAAAGCCAAAATAAATGTGTTAATGAATCCCGATTAGCAATTTATTTCATGCCAATTAAATACCAGTGGAGTGACAGAACAAAGTTATTAGGTTGACAGTGTCTTAGTCATCCATCACAATGCTGGGTATTACAACACAGATGTGTAAAGTTCCTTTTTTTTTTTTTTTAAAGATTAATTTATTTATTTATTTATTTATTTATGTATTTATTTATACAAGCACTGGGTACAGTCAGAAGTGCGGGAGGGTGAGAGAATTCACCAGAGACACAGCGGGGAGCAGAGCAGGCAGACTGACAAAATAAACTGCTGAGGGGAACAGCGGGCCGCAGGAGAGGTCTGCATGCCATATGGTACCCTCACCCGGGGGCCGGGGATCGAACCAGCACTGCAGAGGCTGCGGGCAGCTTCGCAACCCAGCGCTCAACCACTCCGCCACTGGGGAGGCCCTAAAGTCAGTTCTTAAACAAGATGAAGAGACACACTTCCATGCAGTACTGCTGTAGTGCACACATACCTCATCATAGCAAGCATGAAAAACAAACTTTGCAGTTTCTATTGTTTTGAGTTAAAATAATGATGATGATGTTGATAATTAAAAGTAGAGAATCACAATAAAGGGTTTCCCCCCTTCTCATCAAACTTTCCAGCAATTCATATTTATAAGCTACAGAAGCTATATATATATATAAATGGAAACTGTCCTTATCCCTACCTGGGATATCTATCTATCTATCTATCTATCTATCTATCTATCTATCTATCTATCTATCTATCTATCTTCCTTGTGCATTTAAGATATCTGATTTATAAATGTAATTAAATCTTTATCATTACCCTAAAACCTGTGCTAGTTATTTTCCATTTGCTCATCCGGGTATGTTCTCTGCTCCTCTCTCCCTTGCCTATATCCTGGGACCTTGTCCTCTGAGAACTGTTATCTTCCTTTGGTTTGTTCAATGGGAGGGATATGAGCAGAAGATGTAACACAGGAGGACAGCAAGACTAGGGTGTATCTTACCTGCCTCCTTCCTCTCCAGCTCCAGGTTTTGCTGGGCCTCAACAGTGTTCTATTAACACCTTTCCTACTCCTGACTTTTTGGTTGTAGGCATCAAAATTGTACCCCACTGTCACAAGCCTCTCAGTACCTCTATCAGTTCTGTCCACACCTTTGTTAATGCTCTTTTCACTGAAGTCATAATTTGAACCCATCTAGGGTGATTTTTTTTTTCTTTCCAGGGATCAGACTGATATAACAGTGCTTGAAAACCAGCCTCATGCTTTATATTCTCAAAAGTACTTATTCACGGCCTCCCCAGAGGTGCAAGGGGTTAAGACGCAACCTATGAAGCTGTCCACAGCCACTGCAGCCCAAGTTGGATCCCCAGCCAGGGAGCAACCCACATGGTGCAGCAGACCTCTCCTAATTCACCCGCAGCTCCCCTCAGCAGTGTGTTTCAGTCAATCTGCCTGTTCTGTTCCCTACTCTGTCTCTGGTGAATCCTCTCACACCCCCACACCTCTGGCCTGTACCCCAGTTCTTGCATAAATAAATAGATCTTTAAAAAAAAGTACGTATTCAACAATTTTCTGTTTCTATTAAGGGTTCATGTTGAGGAACTCGATCATGTAGGGGTCCCAAGATTTTGCCTATATTTCAACCAAGCTGAAAGCTTGGATTTGCAACTCTGGATTTATATTATGTGCTAATGACCATCAAATTTATATCTCTACCCTACATCTATCTCCTGTGTCAGAACTTTATGATTGCTCTGCTTTTAAGTTTCCAAGTGTCCAATTCCAGTTATCACCCTACATGCCCTTTGTGCAGCTTTCCCAGTAAGCTCCTGTCGGTGTAAAGTTAGGGGCCAAAAATCTCTTTCCAATCAGGTTAGTCTTGGTCATTATCACTGGCAGTACTTTCATTGTACAATTCTGTTAAGAACTTTGGGAACTTTCTAAATATCAAAATTCACTCCATGCACTAGAAGCCAAACCCACAATTGTTTGCAAGGCAGAGTTAGATTAAAGATGGACTTACTGCTACTTTGGAACCAGGCTTCTGCAGAGCTATGTCTTCTAGCTTTGAAGAACCCATTTTGTTCATCTGAAAAAATACCTACTTAAATTCTTTACTAGTCTGAAAAAATACATGCAGCTTTAGCTGTGATTTGACCCTTATCCTTAGACTATGTCTTAATTTGAAAATCTTTCATTTGCTTGACAAGCTGAAAATAAGAATTATATTTCAAAATGCCATTACTAGCCCCTCTACAGTCTCCCTAAAACTTGCTTAGAAATTAGTTCTTTTTAGAATTCATCTCTTTCTTGAAGTTCCTTATACTCAACTACTGTAAATTAGCTGACAATTTCCTGCTATAAATCTCTGTTAAAATACAAAAATCTATCAAATCATTAGGTGGACTAGCTTTTAAGTTACTTCAGGTGATACTTTTACCACTACTTAACATGGATCTTTAATTTTTTTTCAGTTTATCTAGTAGCTTTCTATTTTTTTCAGTCTATGCTGTCATGTTTTTGCTATTTTTCCAGGCTCCCTGAACAGTTTTCTGCCATCTGCCAGGGAATGCTGGAATCACTTTCACATAGTTCTGTTATGGCATTATCCCAGTTTGATACACTGTATAATATTGTAGTTGCTTTTCATTTGTCTGCATCTCTCACTAGACTAGCTCCATAAGGATGTTTACAGAGCTGCACCATGCCAGATATTTAATATATTCTTCTACATAAATAAATAAAGTATTAATTCTTAAAGCCCCTTTAAAGATACAATAGTTAAGTTTTATTAAATCTCTATTGTTTTAATTCAGCTAGGTTTTTCCTAACCATTCTCTTTAGTTCTTATTTGAGCACAATCTGTACATACATGAGCAATGGGCTTTGCTTCAATCAAGTCTCCTGCCTACAAAGTGTGACTGACCTTAAAAAAGAGTCTTAATGTCTGTATGACTCAGTTTTCTTATCTATAGAATGAAAATAATAGTAGTACTTATATGATTGTTGATACAGAGTAAGTATCCAACAAATGTGGCTATCATCATTATTTCATTTTTAGATCATGCATAATAAATTTATAACTGGTTACTTCCAGGAAGAAAATGAGTAGTTGGGGAAAGGAGTGTGTGGAGACTTACATTTTGCTGTACGATGGACCCTTGAACAACATGGGTTTGAATTGCATGGATCTAGTTATACAAGGATAAACACCACAGAATTAACAGAAGATGACTTAATGGAGATGAGTGTTTCCAAACCAGTGCTGGATGATGAGGAAGAAGATGACGTAAAAGAAGCAGTGGCACGAAACAAATCCACACTAGATAATATTGCAGAAGTGTTATGCTTATCCAAGGCTGCTTCTTTTGATACTTTTTCATGATACAGACCCTTCTATGAAACGAGCACTGAAAGTAAGACAAATGATGGAAAGAGGCTGGGCACTATCTAGAAACATTTTTAGAGGAGTGAAAGAGCAAAAAAACAATCAGAAATTATGATGCATTCTCCTAAAATTACACCCTTTGCCTGCCTCTCCTGCTCCATTTCCACCCCCTCCACCCCTTCAGCCTCTGCTGCCCTGAGACAGCCTCTCCTCTCCCACCTCCCCCTCAGCTTACTCAACTTGAAGAGGACAAGGATAAAGACCTTTATGATGATTCACTTGCACTTAATGAACAGTAAATACAAAATATGTGTTAATCAGTGAGACTTTCTGTCAACAGCAGGCTATCAGTAGTTATGTTTCAGGGGGGAGTCAAAAGTTGTATCTGGATTCCCTGTGTGTGGGGTCAGAGCCCCTCCAACATTATCAACAGTATTTACAATTTTTGTAGCTATTTTTATATGCTATCTGCATAAATGATACATTCAAACAATTGTTAGTTTTAAGAATACTACATGTATGTCTGTTCATTTTAGCCTCTAACATATCAGTAGCTTGAATGATGCATTTTAAAACCAGAAGGAGGGCCTTCCCGGTGGCGCAGCGGTTGAGCGCTGGGTTGCGAAGCTGCCCGCAGCCTCAGTGGCACCGATTCAATCCCCGGCTGCTCCCCGGCCACCGGAGGAGGGTCCCACATGGTGCGCAGACCTCTCCTGCCACCCGCTGCTCCCCTCAGCAGTGTACTTCGGTCCTTCTGCCTGCTCTGCTCCCCGCTCTGGCTCTGGTGAATTCTCTCACCCTCCCGCGCTTCTGACTGTACCCAGTGCATGTATAAACAAAACAAACAAACAAACAAATAAATAAACATGCCTCTATAAAAAAAAAAAAAAAGATTTTAAAACCAGAAGGAAAACTTGGAATAATTATTCCATGACACATTTAAAATAGATTTATTTTTAAAACTTTTGGGTCCACTAGAACTAATAGTAACTAAACAAGAAGCAGTTTTGTGGCAGCAAGGTTATTATAGCATCAATACTCTTTTAGTTGCAAAGATTTTCATTAGGTTCAAGAGAAAATAGTCAATAATTTCAATGTAAATCCACATAATTCTGAAAAGCATAAATGTGAAATTTCACTCAGTGATAAAAGGCGTGTATAGTGGGGGAAGTATTTAGTCTCACTGAGACCTAGCTTTTCCAGACCATAACAGCACAAAAGAGAAAAAAAAAAAAAAACTTATCTAAACTTTTTTTAGAGACAGGCTTTTACAGACACAGCAATTCTGGAGGCTTATCAACAACCTTGTGCTGCATTCCAAGACTTGGGAACTGAAAATCTGGAGCAGGAGGGGTCACGAGCAGAAATTCAAAACTCCAGTTACCTGAAGAAAGTTTGTCCTTACTTCATGTATGAAGTACCTGGTGATTAGCCAATGAACTTTGGCCAAGTCCTTATTTCTTTGCCCCTAACCTGCTTTTCAGACAATAAAATTTAATTCCTTTGTCTCAATTGATGTCCCCAAAACCCCAAACCCCTATGTTAGGTTTTGGGGACCCCAAATCTCATTCCCT